AACTCCTAGGCAGTCTTTTTCCCCATTCTTTACCAACATAATTCATACATCCACCCAGCTGTTATCAAAAAGCATTTATGAGATCGTTGAAGATGGGTGCTGGGTATGTAGGGGTTCATTATACTATTCTTCTACTTTTGTCATTTGTTTGAAATTTTCCATAATCAAAAGTTTTTTAAAAAAAGCAATTAGCTAGTTATGGTTTTGTTCTACCATTTAGAATACTACCTTGAGTACTTCTTATTCAATTTTGGTTTTGATGACAAGTTGATAATAATTTATCAATCTCAAACTGAGATCTATTCCTTCTCAGGAATCCATCATTAGTCTTATCTACAAACATACCCATTATGATATGAATTCAATCTTCCAAAAATAAACTATTATATGTAACGTACTGGGCCAAACCATTGATAATGTTAATTATACATGCCAGAAGGTATATTAGCAAGTTATAAAATACATTAAGTGCATTCAGAATTTTACTCTTAATTTAAACATCTCTGATATTACTTGCTCCCCCATTTTGGTTCCAATTATAAGCAAAGTATTACACGTATGATACTTTATTAATATACAGAACAACCGATAAGAAATTAAGTAATTAGGAAATAAGAAGGATAAGAGAAGTCAAGAATTAAGTGAGCTAGCTATTAACCCAAGTTAACAGCAAAAAAAAAAAAAAAAAAGATATTGTTAAAACGTCTAAGACATGAAGTGAAATAAATATTCTGGATAATCATCACCACTACTATTAATACAATTTACAAGACAGCTCATCCTAAGCCAGAAACTTCCTACATACTTTATATTGATTTTCTACTCAATTAAACCCTCACAACAATCCTGAAGTAGATATTATTTTTCCATCTCTAAAGTTTGGAGAAATAATTTGTGCAAGGTCGCACAGCAAAAAAAGTGGCAGAAATGGGATGCTAAATTGGAATTATAGTCAGTGTCTACATTCAAAAACAGAGACATTCAACTGAGAAGTAATCAAAAAAGAATCCAGGAATTAATAGACTGTCTATAACAGAATGAAAGCTTAAATAACTAAAGATAATGAATTACCAGAACCTAAGGCATGATATGGGGTTACCAAGAATGCATTTTTGATAAGTCCAAATGTAATAATATCACTAAGAATAAAAAATTTCCTACATGAATTCTGAATTATAACTCCACACTCGCATTCTCAGGTGTCTAGGTAAATGCTCTTTAAATTATTCTTAACAACTATGTCACAGAAAGGTTAAATACACAAATGAAAATAATCTTAGGAACTATAAAAATTTATTCAATAGACCATACAAATGTACCATCAATCAAGTAAAATAATGACTAAAAGAGAAAGTAAAATGTAAATGAAAAGAAACTTAAAACTCTATTATATAAATGGAGAGAACACAAAGGAGGAGGGGAAAAGCTTGAGGTAAAAAGAAAATAAGAATTTCTTAACATTCCTCCATCTGTAAAATAATTGTTTTTGGTTCTAAGCCTTCATATTAAGATATACATCAATATTTTATAATGAAACAAAATGAACATGTAACAAAGACAGAAGCTATATAATGTACCTAAGGTTATGAAACATTACACCATCTTGTGGTAACAAATGAAAAATGCAATTTAAAGCAAACAATACTGAAAGCTATATTCTACAAAATTACAATGTTATTACTAATTACCCTATTTTTTTAAATCAGATGTTCACATAATATTTTTCATTTGGAAAACTAAACAGTTTTTCCATTGTCATGGAGGTATGTTTGGGAGGAGAGGATTTGGGACTTTTTTGTTTTAAAATATCTAAATAATTTAGAAATTTATATGTTAGTCCTAAATCTTCTTTTAATAAATCAAAAAAGATTTAATGTCACTCACCTGATTATCATCATTTAAAAAGTCTTCAAGAACCCTTTTAGTACACTTTGCCCTTGAAGTTTGAGGACTGTCATCAGAGTTAACAGGAACAGGAGATTTGCTGAACAGGATTGAAAAGACATAAGATAGCAATTAAGTTCCCAATTTCTAAAAATTAGTAGTATGAAATTTAGAGTTTTAATTTAAATACACGTGGTCACCAAGAAATAACCACCATGGATATGATTCATACTGATGTTGCATGGTCATTCCCCCGGATTCTCCCTAAACTGATACCAGAATCTAAGCCCTCCGTATCTCTCTGCTTCTCCTTTCAAGCTTTAAGAAAAAACTATAAAGGAACTGAAGATATTAGTTCTCAAATAAACAAATAAGCCCTGAACTATAGACTATACTCCAAAAGCTCACTTGTTTGAAATAAGTAGTATATTTTTCCAATTAAACACTGTTAGTGATGGGTACACCAAAAGCCCAGACTTCTCCCCTATACAATATGTACATGTAACAAAATTCAACTTGTATCCCCTAAATTTATCAAAATAAATTTTAATATAAATATTGTTAGTTACCCAATGATAATCAAACCCCGTGAACTCATAAGAGTTTCTATTGGAATGGCAGCTACACGTTCTCCCACTTCAAGGCAATTAAGACAGACTTCCCCTCCAGAATTGGTATTAACATACAAGACAGATTATATTGGGAAAAGGATTAATTTTGAAACTAAGATTCCTGAGTACAACCCTAGTCCCACTCAATATATGACCTTAGGTAATTTATATCTGAAATTCAGTTTCTACCTG